CATTAGTTCCATCTATGGATCATTTTTTTAAAGTGATTGATGTATTTTCTTTCTAACACAGGACATGCACAGTTTTCTGTACGTCAAGAGCTTGATATCAGACTCCTATTTAAAYGATAAATGTGGTAATGCTGATGCTAATGAAGTGATGCTTTCGTAGGGCGTGGCTTCCGAGTGGTACGAATAGTTGTARTGTATTCTAGAATTTTTACATTATTATAATCATACATGGTCAAGAACCTACCGAGTAATTATGAATGTGATATGTAAACTTTCATTATATAACATAGTGTGATATTTCTATTTTTGCCGATACTCTACTTATTCAATGGGCGGATCCAGGGGGGGTATTAGAAAGGGCCGTGATCCCCCTTCTTTTGGGAAAGTCCGGCTTAAATATGTATACAAAGACATATTCATGTGAACTACATAATTCAGACAGACAGACAGAAAAACAAAATTTAGAGATGTGCTTTTAAAATTTCTGGATCCGCCCTTAGTATTATACTGTCAGCTTATGTACCTTGTTTACAAATTAGTTACTATATCATGTAGGACTTTTAAATTAATTTGTCTTAAGCGAGTCTAAACCTAATTTACTTATTATGCCGTTATTTGATCATGTATAGTTACAAGTGATTTGATTGTCGTTTTTGTTCACTTAAATTGAGTTCGTTTGATGTGGTGCATAAGTCACTATAAGACAAGATGCAAGACAATTGACATCGTTCCAACGAAAATCAACCCGAACGAAAYCCAATTCAATTTGTTGGCGATGTCCTTCCAAGTGTATCGGTTTTCCTTCACTTCATCATCGGGGATGTTTCTAGAGGAATGGCGTTTTTTCGYTCCTTCAGTTGGTGAAATATTTTCTAGCTGCACMGCTTCGTTCACATGRACATTGATATCCGCTTGGCCCTTTTTGGAGTTAAAAGGATAAAAAAGCTTTCTGATTAGAYAGGGWGGYWCTCCCTCAYGGTAATGRCAAAGTAAGATGAAGATGGTCGCCATCAGAACTATCGATATAATGCCCAGGGATATGATCATGAAAATTCCAAGAATAGGAAGCTGATCGGAACTTCTCGGCAGGAACTCTGGGATCATTTCCAGGAAAACGATCTGTGCAAGTAGAATAGTGGTGATAAAACTGATTCTCTCCCCACTCTCAGTCGGGATCAAGAAGCTCAACATGGCCAACATGAGGAGGAAGATGATTGGYGTTACTAAGTAAAACACGAAGTATTGTGGTTTGCGCTTTAAATATAACTTGTATAAGATCACACTGAATGAGCCGCAGCAGCCGTTGTGATTTGCCGTTTCACTCGTCACCTCAACATCTTCGACTATCCACTGACCGTTCGATACAGAGCCTGCAAATATATATTTATATGAGCACTCGTCAGATAGTGAAGAGTGCGTAAGCAAATCAAGAAACTCAGAATCGCAGCAAATCTTGCCTCTTCGTTTTATTACTTCATTTGCCTAGCTCTTCACTATGTGTGCATGTATTTAGCTTATTTCACTATATGATTGAGCAAATTTATGTTATTTAGAAGTGTCTTTTTAAATACCTTTTTCATAGTACGTATAGTTAGCATTTGGTGTGATTTTGAAGAGGTTCAAATTATAGGTAAACGAACCAAAATAAAGGTAACAGACTTGCTTATCCTTGGGCCATGATAAGACGTTTTGTTCACATGTGCTGGTGAAAGTAGCGGGCGAGAGCCAACTCAAGTTTCCCGTTGAAAGTGCGTTGACGTCGGTGATAAACTTATCTCGTCCTCCAGCAAGTTTTTCTCCTTCTTTTGCACTAATAAAATTAAAAAAAAAGATGAGAGAAAAAAATGAAAATTATMAATGGACTTGAGAAAAGTAGAAAATGTTCAAAGCTTCACATGAATCGATGAGATAGAAAAGCTGCATTTCCGGACTCGAACCAATTATTGTTTATTAACCTCGTTCAAACTCACAAATGACACAAATGCTATCGAGAAGTGGGCCGTCTGTCGCGTCTTACTTACTTGTTCTTGAGAGCGATGTCGGGTACCCAGATCTCATTGCGCGAAAATACAGAGTARCTTACTCCCCCATAATTAGTAGCATTCCAAGACAGAGACTGATCTTGCCATTTCTACGAAACAAATGCGTTGAAATTATTCATYTAGAAAAATATAACGTTTTTAGAATTGTTGCCTTACTTCGAATGAGTGAAAAGAGATCAACAGAAATAGGACACAACACAAGGCGACKGAAAGTCGCAGAKTTGAATRTAWAACAGCAGTAAAAAATCATCTGGTCAAAAATGTGATGAAAGATGAACAATTATGTACCTGTAAAATCCATCCATGGAGTTTCAAGGTCTGGTCTTTCGTGTCCTATAAAACAAGATGATAGCGTTCTTCTGTTCCAAAGAACAACCCCTTGTGGCCACCACAGGTAGATCAATCTCGTCTCTTGAAAATTGCTCTTGCTTAGACAAAATATCTATTTTCACCCCAGTCCTCCTTCTCTGTCGTCCCGTCCCACAATTTGTGCTGCGCAGGAGCGCATTACTAATAATTACTAATAATTACTAATGGGCTCCTGGTGCTACGTGCAAACTTTGAGTTTGTACTTAATTACTTGTCAATTTAATTAGTGTATATTTACGGATGTATAGGTTGCCCGCTAAAGAAATTAAAAATGAAGTTCACGTATTTTACCACTTCATAAAGGTGATACAAGGTGAACGAGAAAATGACATCAACAGCATCCTTTCCTTCTTTAATGAATTTAAGAGGTCCAATTACTTCGTCGTGATCTTGCAACAGATCCTTTCGGATGGCCTTTCTGTTGGCCTGTTYTTCTTGGACACTTTTTTCTTCGAGACCATCGCCTTGGATTTAAAGGTTGCTCAAAATTAGTTTTTGCATCAGGCATGAATGCCAATCCACAACTTTGGATTTACTAATCAATAGAACAAGAATCAAGCCGCCAATGGCAACACAACTCGAAGATTGTTAGACAAGTCGTGTACATAAATCTGCATGAAGCCTAAGACTTTGTTTAGATATGGTCTAATTTCGACAAAAAATCTATAAAATGAAATTGACCTCAATTTGACCTTATTATCAACACATCACAATTTCTTAGCTTGAAGTGATGATGCTTTCACTTTGAATGCTGACCGTTAAAATTTATATTTTGAGTTCTTACTTGTAGTTTCGTCCGTGCATCGATTTTTTACGAAGGATATATGAATCGATGAGCATTAAATACCGATCGAGCCATATTGACACTATATCTCCTAAAACGACTTCTGAAATCAACAGATTAATTCAGGGTAAGAAGCTTATACAAGAACGTCCAGACCTCAAAAATCACATTTTGTGTGTTTTTAAAAGACACTTCTGTATGAAAACACCTGGCCGTCCGTTGGTTACGGACTTCTAAATGCCCGTATGTTTACAGAAAAAATATGTGACCTGTTAACTAGTCCACCTCACCTCACACACCATAATCTATCTACCTCCTGTAACTCTTCGATTGCTTCGCAATCTTCGAGTTAAAAAGTCGTCATCTCTTGTACCATGAAAATCACCTCTACTTGACAAGCACAGCCAGTAACAACAGAGACTGAAAAATTACATTTGTCCCCAGTGTTTTACTAATTTGCATTTTTCCCAAAGATATTCCTTGATGTTTAAATCTTTGAAATATTAATTTCCGTAATCATTTTCGGTCTAGTTGCGTGGAATCAAAAAACGGCTTCACTAAGCCATATGGGACAGCCGGCTCGGTTAGCATATTACGATCATGCGCAAAGGATTATATATGCAACCCTTTCCCAGGCCCTTATCCCTTTGCTTGGGACCAGCACATGCGAAGGGGTAAAGGGCCTGGAACGAGATTGTTATAGATGATGATAGCAGATGATTGGAAATTATAATTAGCTAATCACTGTGCAAGAGTTCAAGCAGTGAAAAAAAATCCAGCAGAAACTAGACTTCAAGCTATTTTAAATTTTCAGGCTAATCAGACARATAAAAAGTTAACGATAGGAGATCGCAGGCGTCTGCTGGAATCAGCTTATTTGTAGCATTTTTGGAAAATCCTGAACGGTCGGTTTAATTAAAATTACAGGTTTCGAAGCTGACGTAGGACACAATGCCCGAATAAAACCTGCTGTCAACAGTTCTTGTTTTTTTTCTTCCGCTACTGAACATTAAAATTCATCGTTATTAGATGTGCCAAATTTCTCGCAGCATTTTTATGTCTTCTTTAGAATTGCTGTACCTAATTTCCATCTCTATGGATTCTTGTTTTTTYYCCTCAAGAATTAGACAATGCGCCCCATAAGAGAATTTGTAAAAATTAGCTTTTATGACACTGCATCAATGAAATTTAATGAATTTTCCATCCATTAAAATTGTATGTTTTTATATGTAACCATCTGTATTTATTGAATTATGGCTTGTGTTGAGGCGTCTGAAAGGATGGTCAAGAAATCTTTATTAGTTCTATTCTATTCATTATGACATGGCGTAGGTAGCCATCGGCAGGTGCTGCTGGAATTAAGATTGATATTTTTGGGCAAACAATCTTGAAAAACAGTTGGAAAAAATCCCCAAAGATTTCTTCACTTTATGCATGAGATAATTTCATGTAACCAAGTGATTTCAGTCTTTCAGTGATTTCAGTCTTTCAGTCTTTCAGTGATTTCATGAAAAATGACGTAAAACTGTTACATGGATTTTTTTTGTAAGTTTGTGCAAATGTCCATGAAATAGCGCGTCTTCCGCTTGAGCTGAATGTATTTTTCAATTGAAATGAGTTATGTGTAGTTAGGGGTGAGTTTCTGTCGTAAGAAAGTCTATCAAGTTAAGGCGATATAGAACAACAAAACAACGAATGTAATGTCTACCATTGTACCAACTATTACGAATGATCTTCATTTTCCTTCAAAAACGACTCAAATCGTGACTGGAGGTGTGTTTAAATAAGTATGAGGAATGGTAATTACTAGATATTTAGTTAATAGAAAATTGCTAAATATAGCTTGGTTATACTTACAGGAATGTAACAGACTCAAAACTAACCAAAGCAAAACAGTGAACATCGTATGGAGAATGACGACAACTGATTAGATCCCTGGTATTTTTTTACTTGCATTGACACATGCTGTTTTATAGCAAACGAAAATCGTAGTTTGACAGAATTCTCTCCAACTGCAATTAGACTGCATGAAACRAACACAGGTGACCGTCTAGGATTTTTTTTAATGTTGATAGTTAAATCGTGATGATAGCCTTGATAACAGGCCAAACTTTTCTTCTATATAGCTGTAAASAAATCTCTAAAACTTGGAAGTAAGCAACGTCAGACTCGGTCTTTAACTGGAAAACATTTATAAAGTTTATGAATTCTACTGCTTGTTAACGTTAGCCCTAGCCATTATCACCTCATCTCCACCACCACCTCCCCCCACACTTGAGAAAACGCTGTGTTTCAGAATTAGAATCAAAGGTGTATCTGTTTTCAACAGTCAGAGTTTTTATGGTACATAGTAATATCGTTTTTTAGACTTCCTCGGCCTATAGCATTACAAAAAGCACATCATTCAGTCTCCTGTATTCTTACATTATTACCATGATTTTCCCCGCCTTTGCCAAAGGGTTGTCTAGAACTTATGCGTGATAAGTGGCTTGTTGAAGGAAGCAATGACAATTCAAACCACTCATAGACTATACACACAAGCTTTCTATTTTTACTAGGCGTTGTGCGAGGTAGATTTTTTTAATTTTTTTTTTGGCTCGTAAAAAAACATAATAGTCAAAGCGTTGTATTTTTAATGATAAAACGAAATACTTGAGTTTACGACAAAACATGTTTCGGCATCCTTCTGCTATCTTCCGAAAGTCATTACAATTGAAAAGATTATGTTTACACTAAGCAACTGAAGTCTAGAAATGATATAAAGAAACTGACTTAACTTTCGCAACAGCTATAAAATTTTAATGAAACTAATAATTAAAAACTATAAATAAAATAAAAAAGATAAAATAAAATATAGAATGGAAGAAAATTAATCATAGACAAATGAATGTAGTAAAATGTCACGGTTAACAAAAATAGAAATGCACCCAAAGATAAAGAAACGTGCAAAATAATAAAGTAATAAATAAATCAAATAARTAAATAGATTAATTAAAGCGTGGTAAGTCAAAGTGKATTTTATACAGGGCAATAAAAATCACTCTAGAAGACCTCTCGCTTSTACWTGCCTTTYCTTGCTGAATGACGAAATACAAAATGTTAGAAGGTTATTTGTGTTATTTCAAGGTTTTGGTGACATAATAATATATACATATAGGAAATAGGGCCCATTTCGTCACCGGAATCGCCTTGAAATTACGAGGAACGAGAAATGCTGTTTTGGCGAGAATTACACACACAAAAAAAATGTTAGCAGATTATAGACCCACCATTTTTCCCATTATATGGCTGTCTCTCTGCACAAAAATGGCCGGATCTGAGGTGACAGAGCAAATGTTGCCATGCAAGTCTTTCTTTCAGTTTAATTTACCTCCTCGGTAAGCAGATAAAGTAAGTTATAACAGACTCTCTTGATGGGCGTAAATATGTAAAGCATAGATCATAAATTTAAACGAATTTACGATTTTTTTCCTTACAGTCCAACTGTTGGTAGGTTGATCATTACAAAAACARTTTCAAAGGCAGCACGAAAACAACTTTTAACATTAGCAGGTAACTATACTAATTTTWCTCATGGTCGAATATAAATTTGTTTCCACCGCTGGTGCAATTTATGTACAAATAAAAAGTGATTTCGATTGCACAAAAGAAAAGGCTATTTTCCGATCGTGTAGTTTATAGATCACAGTTAATAATTAAAAGTGAGCGTCAGATGGATTAATAAGCTAATTATAGCACGTCACTCCCATACATACCGAGCACCAAGATGATTTCAGAATTAATAGCGAACCACCCTTTTGATCTGTTTTTTTTTATCACAATATATGGATAGCTTCTGCTTGATGTGTTTGTAGATTAAAGACTACAAAATTGCCAAATTATTATAAGGAGAAAGTGTATTATAAATATACGGTATTTTAGTGTCCTCTCACATTGCATTTCTACTATAAGTCAAAGTTGATGAAGAAACTTCAGCTTCAAAAACACGTTAAAGGTCTGTATAATACCATGCTAAGACCTTTCGTAGTGTTTTGTCAGGGTAAGTGGCTGCATTTATTACTATAACTTTGGTAATGTAATACAAGTCGGTGTATAATAAGACCTCAGTGTGTGATATAGCGATGCACCTTGCGTTTGCGGTGGGTTAGACCTTTTGTAGTGTTTTGTCAGGTAAGTGGCTGCATTTATTACTATAACTTTGGTAATGCAATACAAGTCGGTGAATAATAAGACCTCAGTGTGTGATATATCGATGCACCTTGCGTTTGCGGTGGGTTACACCTTTTATAGTGTTTTGTCAGGTAAATGGCTGCATTTATTACTATAGCTTTAGTAATGTAATACAAGTCGGTAAATACAATAAGACCTCGATTGGTGTGTGATATATCGATGCACCTTGCGTCTGCGGTGGGTTCTGCGGCTATCGGTGTTATTTTATTTTATTTTATTTTTTCAATTAGCTTTGACAATGTCTTAAACCTTTTTTCCATTCCGTCTTCACTCACCTAAGGCAAATTATGCTCACAGACACACGTCTAGCTTCAAAATTAATAATCTTTAGACAATGTATTGTTGTTTGTGGGCGTTATGCACATACAGGTATCTGCTTAAAAAGCACTCAATGCTAGCTTGGGGCTAGCTTTAGGGTAGACTATTATATCCAAGGGASAGGGGGAGCGTTGATTGACTGGTTTTGCCGAGTAGCACCTGTACGTCGATAAAATTGGTCTATAAATAATTCCTTATTGAGACAGTAGAAAAAGCATATTACATATAGCTGTTTTTATTCCACCAAAAAACTGTCTTTTCAGTTCAGTAAATTCTGCGGATGTTCTTAGAAACATTTTGTTTTCTACATTCGATACACCAAATGAAATGCATATTGAAAGACACTCAACGTACAAGAATAATTTGTAAACGTCTGTTTGGAAAGTGTTTGTTTGTCACATTGTTTCAGTGGCTTTTGCACATCGGAAGCTCCAAAGATAAAACATCGGATCAGACGTCGGATGCAGCTCAACTAGTTTTTTTTTTTTTTTCAAAATAAGCATGTTATGATTTATATATTTAGATAAYTTACACCTACTTGCAGAAACGCTGTCATAGAAAATAGAACATTTGAATTTAGGAATTTAGGAAAAGGAATAAATTAAAACAAGACAAAAGAAAGCGTTCAGCCTCAGTGATCTTCTTTTGTCTTTTTAATTTATTCCTTTTTACTAAAATACAAATGTCCTATTTTTTTATGACAACGTTTTCGCAAGTAGGTGTATAAAGACTTTTTACAACAGAATCACAATATATCCCATGGAAGTTTATTGACATTTAATAAACATCAAGAGAACTCCACCTATATAGTTCATATAAATTTTAATTCCACCATCTTCGCTTTTTCTTTTTTATTATGTATGTAGTATCTATCTGTGCAATGTTTATACGTCTTTTTTAATTAAAAAACAACATCTAATTCATCTATTTATCAATCTATCTAAGTGRGCCGGTTTTCTATTTATTATTCATGACAATTTTAAGATAGGATTATAGCATAGAATAGTATATACACAGGCAAAATAAAACGCCGATTTTCACAAAGTCAGTTCCAGAAAAGTTGGTCAAACGACTGTAGGTTCATAATCGTGATTTTGCRATGAGGCTGATGTGATGCATTGAAGACATGCTTGGATGATGTGCATTCGGATCTTTRCCACAAATAAGATTCTTAAGACCTTGGCGATACGACTTGACGAAGACAAAATATATGACCGGATTGCTTGAAGTGTATACAATGTAAATTATTTGTAAAACGAAAATTATCATTTCCGTGTCGGGTTTAAAGTTCCATTTCAAGATAAAGTTTATRACAAACATATAACAGAAAATTGGTCCGACCAGAAAAGCATAYGAAAGAATGATGGCAATGCTCAAAAAAAAGATCTGCTTATTTCTTCTCTGACGTGATCGATATTGCTTGTTGTTTAAACAATCTTTCACACTTTCTGATTTTCTGTGGAGTCTTGAGATCATCATTAGGTATTCAACGGTGATGATTGTAAAAGGAATGAAAAAGGAGAAGATTATGATAAACCCGAAATAAATACTTAAGGATTGCTTAGGGTCTATCGAAAGCCTACATTTTCTCCCTGGTGAGAGTGTGAAAAAGTAAAAATGCGGGCAGTAGAGTAACCCTGCAAGCAKCCAGATTAAGGCAATGAAAAGCTTGTTTTTCTCGTTCATGATGTTGCTTAATTGGGCCTTGAATGGGTATACAATGGCCACAAATCTGTTGGTTGCAATGGCAACTAAGCTGAAGCTCGATACTGCAGGCGACATGTCTGTACAAAACCAATACACCCTACACATTAGATCWCCCATGGTGCCATCAACGGGCCAGTCTGTTAAGAAGCCATTTGAACGTAGCTCATCACCAAGCTTGTATGGGATCACCAGCAGAGGTACGAACAGGTCAGAGATAGCCATGTTCACTACCAAGTGGTTGAAAGCAGTTTTTAAAGCGTTAGTTCGAAATATCACTATGATGAGGGCGATGTTACCAACGAGAGAACAAATTTGAAGTACGATATACACGCTTATCTTGACCATTGATGGATGATGCTGGATGACTGACGAACTGGTAGTACTCATGTTGGTCATGTTAGAGTATTCAGTCGCACCGCTGAAATTCATGTTCCTATGAAAAAAAAMMCAGACTTAAATAAGATGACAGTCGACGGTCAAGTTCCTCAATAGAGATCTATTTGCAAATAACTTTAGACCGACGACGCATCAGCATATGAATAGGCCTGTCGAACACTCGAACCGTGAACACTTCAAGTTTCTTATATATTTTTTATTTTATATTTTGCATAGATTAAGCGTATGAACGAATCAGAGACCACGGCGTTTGCGTCAAAGAAAAGTTCTATTTTTAATTGACGCGTGCCTACTTGAAATAACGAAATCGGAAATTGGAAAAGATGAATTAAYGAAGCGAAATGGAAGAACTAGATTTTACGAAAAGAAAACAAAGTCTAAAACATCGATTGATTCAGTGTCACGTTTATTATAGTCGTTTGAATGTTCTCCTAGATCGCGCGCGAGACCATCGAGACCATCGTATGGCATGTTATTCTCAGAGATGTAAACAATCTATATTAACAGGCTAATCAGTTTTCTCGTTTAAGCCTATGAATGAATGCTCTCATTCTTGTGATATTTTGCTTATTAGTTGGAGTCACAAAAACAACCTCGAACATTCCAGACATGTTTTTGGTGCTCACAGTTTTGAACATACGTGCCAAATATCGTAGTGMAGCTTGTTCTTGCTCTCCATCTRCYGCCAAATTGCATGACTKTTTCCTTTTACGACGGATTTTTTTACTATAAAAGGACATTGTTTGCATAACACTACTCACTGTTTTGCGACTTTAACTCRTAAACAGAGTCACGACTCGACGTAACTCTTAAATCAGTTTTATGCCAATGACATACTCAAAATGGAGTGGAATGACACTCATTTCAATGTTTTAGTCTAGTGAGCACTATTAACGATACGAAGCATAAAAAAAACCATTTCTGGAAAAATTAATGTGTTTTGTTTATCTAGTGAAATAATAATATCTATAAAATCTTTAATATCCACTGAATTTTACCCCTCTATTGCTTTAGTTATCACGATTGCAGTGTTTTCAAGAATTTGTCGTTTGCKCTCCGCACTGAAATTTTATTCGATTCAACTATGGGGTTGCAACATAGAYAAACCCAAATTAGCATCATGATTGGATGTAGTTTAAAGTAAAGTTTGGCGGTCATGGAGTGTTTTCTAAAATACTCATAAGATTGAAAATGTAATGTCCAAAGAATGCCACTTTTTAAACGTTTTTAATAATTTACACGAGAAAAGTTCTTACCAAAGTCTCCTGGTTGCTTTTCGTTTGCTCAGAAAGGTCCCTGATTGGTTTAAAACGATGAACGACTCAAAAACAGCTCAAAGTGTTCCCCGCTGGTTCTACAAAATAAACATTGAAAATCATCCTTGAATAGAAGACAAAATAAACGAGCTAACAGCAGCATTTGATAAACACATTGCATAATAGACCTCTGAAGCTTTTACGCCACCTACTTGGTTTGCAATGCATTGTGGGATCAGTTTCTGAAGAAAACAAAGGAAATCCGCCATGTTTGTCCCAAGCATTTCCTACAATGCATTTTGTATTCGGCATACACTACGTGATGTAAAAGCTTCAGGGATCTATTGAGGCCTCAACAAACTAGCCAATTAGTTGTCTATAATTGAACACACGTAGTCGGGGTCCAAAWCGGCTATATCATGAAAGGTCACGAAAAATAAGGCCGAAAGGCTGCATGGGAATGCAAATACAACGAGTATTCGAAAAGATTGCCTAAAATGAGCTTCTCTTCGATTAATTTGATTCTGCGATTATCCTGAATAAACTTCTGTGTTGATAATATCAACTATTTGTTGTCAACAACTTCGCAGTTTTTATTTTACCCATAAGGAAATCAGTAGTCCTCGCGTACAATTTTTGCGCGTTTAGTTGTTTAATTGTTGACAATTTGTTTCACATCTTTTTTGATCATCTAGAACATCTAGTTGTCGAAATAGTCCTAGTCTGTGCCGATGTCCTGTAGCTCATTGTAACGCACAAGAAACACTTAAGGTCACTGAAGATGGTTTATTCGGCGGGCTGTTATAGCAATGRATGAAATGGAAGTGTGGTTCTTTCATTAAACGAATTTTTCTTAAAACGTTTTTACCACAAACAGCACTTCGTGACAGATAATATATATTTCATGACCACTTTTATAGAACTTAAAATACTCTGATGTTTATTGAGGTTTTTTGGCTTGCTCGAACATTAACAATAAGCTGGAYTAAACTAATAGCACTCACACGTCTGAATGACAAAACAAAAAAACATTTCTTTTGTTACTAGTTCAACTATGAATACTGCATCAATGAACGTTAAATTTGAAAAGCAAATGTTTTTTTTTCTTTCTTATCTGAGGAGGTCGCGTATAAAATCACTGATCCACATACACTGTACACACTTTCCTATCATTTTTCTCTTTACCTGCTCCAAGATGTCTTGATAAGTTGAAGACGAWTTGAAATGTCGCGAATTTACTGCGCWAAACYATGYATGGAAGTTAGTAACTCTGGTTATGAACGAAAATACGGGCAAAATGACAAATATGCCATAAATATACTTATATCTTTGTACGTATATCATGCATTATTCAACATGTAGTTGCACAAATAAATATATAGAATAGGCAGGTTTATTTGAAGTCGAATGACAATGTATTAGAACACCTGTAAACAGGATGATTCTCAGTAATATATTGAGAAACTGAATAACGTTGTAAAAAGAAAAATATATCAATAATGGAGATTAAAAAACTTCGTTTTATTAATCTGACTTCAAAAATTAATATAAATCATATGAAATTAAATCTTCAATATATTTGTAATCAACCTGCACAATATGTTTAAATTTATAGCTATGATAAAATGACAAACGGTTTGATCAATTTTCATTCTTATTCAGGGAGAAGCTAGCAATAACAAAAGGATGWAACGACCTGACAGTTAAACTCGATGTAGTTATCTTTAAAGCGGCCGAAAGCAAATAATAGGATTGCTGCTAAGCGTTCCTTATCTCACAACGAAAAAAAAAACATGCGAGTAAAAAAACATGCGAGTAAATTGGTCATTTTGCATAAAAGAAAAAACGAGAAAAAGAAAATTAAAAAAACAAAAGAAAAAAAGATTTTCCTTAATTAAAAAAAGAAAAAAATAATAATTTAACTATGAAAGACAGAAAGACAGGACGATTCGGCTTTGTGCGGCCATTTTTAACTATCATTTTCATTGATTGAATAGTTCATCTTTGTTTCTGTATGAGGAGCCGACGGGTTCCTGGAAGAAATATATCTGTTCTTATGTCCCAGCCAGCCGTAAGTCAAAACTGGTTGCCAGCGAGAAATTCAGGAAAAAAGAACTCTCCAGGCAAGGAATACTTTCTAAGAATTTTTCCAGGAAAATAGAAATGTCCTAACCTAAAAAATATAAGCCGTTTTTTGACCTTAAAAACGTTTGCCAGGAGCAAAAATATTTGAAAGAAGGAATGGTGCAACATTTGCTTGTGAGATTGTCAAYTGACTTTTCGACGARCTTACCTCGACCAGTTCAGTCTTTTTTAGTGTCTTCGGCTTAGTCAATGCTTAATAAAACTGCGTTGAACTTAAATACAGATGAAATATGGCGTTTGAAGTAATTATTTTTATTATGTCATTCTTCACGAGACATGCCTTTATTTGAAATTAGTTTTTGGCTAGTCACACTGATCAACGAAAATAAACAATAAAMTTTAAATTGATTTTTTAAAAAGAGCAATTTGAACAGCTTTATAAATTAAAAGAAAAAACGAGAAAATTCATTATTATGTCAGACTTTTGACTTTTATTCAAAAGTAATATTTATCAGTTTACATTACTATTMTCATTTAAACTCAACGCTAAGATGTTAATGGTGSACTGGCATTTTGGGGGGTAAAATYCTAAAGTGGTCGTCATACTTTGAAGATTTATAAGCGATCCTACTTTTTTTGGTTTAAATGTTCAGTCTGTAAACCACAGCGAATAGATTATTTAACAAATAGATCTCATTTTTCCGTGCGTGTGTACTCTAATAGATACACAGATGACGTCAAAATGTAGTGAGAACAAAAAAGTACGCACGAGACGCAGTCGAGTGCGTGACTGTTGTTCTCACTACATTTTGACGTCATCTGTGTATCWATTAGAGTACACACGCA